CGGTTCGGTTCTTCTTGTGCCTTTTGTCAGCAAAGCCTGTTGAGAAGATACTTTTCGGGGTCATCTTCTTTTGGTTTGCCTTTTTTCTTTCATTTAATAATATTCCAGGGAAGGGGGTGCAGAGGGGAAGTGTGCTTGTGAAGGTGTCTCTGTTAATTATACAGTAGCTTTTTTTCCTGAGGTGGATTGCAAAGGAAACAAAAATGGCAAGGCCTGACCAGATGCCCTCCTCTGGAGTTAACTGGGGTAGTTTAAGATGTTTCTGCTGCAGCTAAAAGCAGTCCTCTACATAGATGAGCTAGAAACAACAGGCATGGAGGAGTGCTCCCTGATCTGTCTCTGTGTGAAGTCGGACAGCTTAGCTTGAATCTCCTTCCATCAGTGATTTTAAACTAAGCCTGCTCACTGCCTTCAGTGTAGGAGGTAGCTTGTTCCTTCCCCCAGCTCTTCTGTGGGCACGATAGTTTTCAGTATCTTGGCAGTCATGAGCAGCTACAGGCTGTAATGTCTTCATTTATTCCACTCATTTGCAAAGTGTTTAAAAAGAAAAAAGTATTTATTTTAAAAAGCGAAACATGAAACAGCAGTCCCCCTGCCCCAATCCCTTTTTAAAAGATGGAAAGACATAGTAAAAATCAAAAAAACTGGCCTGAATTTTGCTCTGTATTTGTGCTATGAAAGACAATTTTGCTGGGTTTTGCTTTGTCTTTATGAATATATGAGCGGTTATGACATGTGTACCCATATTGCATACAGTCGTGCTCCTTTTTAGCCTTTCACCTCTGGATGCTGTTAATCTCCTCCCCAAATGACTTTGCCATATTCTGATACGTTATGTTCCCCTTCTTTAGACCAAGGGCTTCCCCTCCTGTTCCCTGTCTTTTCCATATGGTTTCTTTACTATTGCCTTCTAAAGTGGTAGGGGGAGACGTTTCAAGGGCTGCTTTAAGGACGTGGGTATATAAAAACAACTATGTTCATAGTGTAGGTGGAAACTGCTTCTATTAACTTAATAATTCCAGCCACAACTCCCTGAAAATTGGAACAGTCTCCTGCCAAGACCAACGGATTTTAAAAATTTGGAGTCTCTAGGCCAAGCTTCTTGATGCCAAAAAAGTTAGGAAAATATTCGAGTAAGTTCACCTCAGTTTTTGGATTCTTCTATTTCCCGGTCTTGCATCCAACTTGCCACTAACTCCTCAGAAAAATTCTTCCCTGGAACAAGATCACACCTGTGAAATTCCAGCTTGCTTGGTTTCCTTCCAGTGAAACGGGGAGAAATCCAGCATCGGTTTTATAGTGGAGGGGTAACTTCAAGTATGGAGAGTATCTTTCCATGCAACCTTACTATTCCCCCTTGCACGTTTACTACTTGTTTTACAGCTGTTGCTGGCTGTAGAGAAAGCTAACAGCCTTATTAGTGATCCAGCTTTAATGGGCAGGATTCATGTAAATTGTCTAGCAGTTACTAAAGCCTGCTCAAAAAATGGGCAGGATATAATTTCAAGGCTAAGCAGGTCCTTCCGCCAACTCCGTGGTCATCATTTTGCTGAAGGAGTTTGCGGTCCCCTGAAGGAAGAGGGGGGATTGCTTGTGTGAGGTGGGGGGGAACGTGCTCCGAGGAGCTCGTTGGTAAGGGAGAGCTGTCTGTCTGTCTCGCTGTCTGTCAGAGGAGTGTGCACGCTCGTGTGTATTTGGAGGTGTAATACTGACATGTATGCGAACAGCCAGCTTCAGTCTCCTTTGGGCTTACGCTGATGATCCCTTGTGGCTTTAGCTGCTAAGTCATTCTTAAAGCATATTATATGCTTTGCTCTCACCTTTCTTCCTTTGACTGACAGTTACTGAAATCGATAATTTATAAATGTTTACCTTTTTTATAAAGGAAAAGGTAATTTGTCTGACATTACTCAACTGGCTGGTTATTGAATTGCCTGTCATAGGGAGGAAAGATTTTTTCTGTTAGTATTTATCTAGATTAGCTCTCTGTCTGATTCCATGTATGTCGTTTATTTTAAGCTGATCACCTAGGTGTCTAAATTGAAGGGTAGACTATAGCCCACAAATAATTGTTAAAAGCAAATGAGATTTTACCTCTTGATTCCGTTGAACAGGCATTTCTGTTTTTTTTCTTCTCCTTTTGCCTTTGGATGTTTTTATGAGTTTATATAGGACCAATCATTTCTCCGCTAGGTGTGTGTCGTGTCACGGGAGAACAGAACCCAGCACGGTGTTTCGGTATCTGGGACAAAATGGCAAATCTGGGATGTGCTGTTTATGAAAGGATTTTGAGTATTCCCCGCTTTGTGTGTTTCTTCCCTGCCTTCTTAGTACGAGAAAGATCACTGTGCAAATTTGGATAAGCATTTTTTCAGACTTGAACACCTTGAGATAGGTATCTTCTCTTACATTCCGAGTACTGGCGGGCCAAAATGGTTTCAGGGAAATCTGTGCATACTTGGCTCTTCTCTGCAACTGGGGACTTGTGGCACTCCCATTTGAAAATGTTGACCTCCTGCAGGAACCCAGCTTATTTTTCCTTCCCCTGCATTTAACACTGAAAAAACAGCAAACTTGTTTGTGGATTTTTAGTCTTTATTGGTGCACAGTGGCTATTTGATGGCATGAATAAATCTTAAAAGTGGCTGTAATAAGACCAGCTGTTAACTTTGGCATTGACCTCCTGCTGTTTGCCATCGTCATAAATCATCTTTAGCAATGTGTCACAGAAATGTATAAAAATTGTTTTAATTGTTAACTGGAACAGGGTTGTGTTGGAAAGTTTTTCTTCCCTGTGGTTCAATGACCTGAAAAAAGCAGAAAGATGTATTATATGTATAATTAAAACATATTAAAAATTTGAAAAGAATCCGTGGGCTCCAGAAAAATAATCCCTATTTCACTAGTGTTTCATAGTTTGAAAGAGGATTAAACCCCTATGTTTTTGTATATAGTAAGCTATATTCTTAACAGGAATGGTGTTAAAATGCAGCATAATATCGTACGCATAGATCTGCAAGCGTGCCAAGCTGGTGTGATTTTAATAACTAGCAAACTTCATGTTGATATGATCCCTGAGATTTATGGAAGCAGGGGTGTGTTTTTATCCTCCAGTGGAGGTTTGTCATGCCAGTGGATGTATTAGCTGTTAAACCAAACATCACGGGGAACATTTACATTTTGTGTTTACTGTACTTGCTTACAAAAGGGTAGTTTGTTTAGTTTGTGCTTACGTGCCAGAATTTTGAGGTTTGATGACACAGTTGACAGCTCGGGTAGCAAGTTAGGCTACAAATTTTTAAACTGTTCATTCATTAGCTTAGCTTTCCAGTCGTGTGTGTGTACCTTTGTCCTGTAGGTATAAATGTTTTCATTCATTTCCTGGTGAAGAAGTACAGATGCGGTATAACCTGATCTTGCAAAATTTGTATTCCTGACTGTCTTAGCTTTGAGATGTCTTGCTGGTTAAGGTGTGTTGGTTTGAGCAGACCAGATATGCTCCATCTGTGTTGCCAGGTATGCCGTGTATCCTGGAACCCTGCAGAGACCGTTTACTCGTGATGGTTGTGTGATCCGGTTTCCAGGTAGTTTCCAGTCTTTGAAAATCAACACTGCTTTCCCATCTGCTTCAGTCAGTAATATCATCTCCTACAAGGGCATGTGGTGTGGTGAACTCAAGGTTGTTCTCTCATGATAAAGTCAGGGAAGAGTTATCTTTGAGTACTCGGGGGAAAAAGCTTGTCACTGGACTTGTACTGTGATAATCTGTCCTGTGCGGCAAGAAAATGCAGGGGAAAGCACTTGAACTAATGGTATTTAGCTACTACACGTGAAAATGTTTGCTGTACTGTGACAGGATTCTTAATGCAATATGTGTAGCTGCACGTGTATTAGAGAGGAAGTTTCTAGGTCTGCTAAGCTGAGGCCCAAGTTTTGTTGTTTGTTTTACTTGCAACAGAGAGATTTGTGCAGAAGATTCCCTGCGAACCTAAACTTTCCCAAGGGTCTGGGTTCAGACAGAGTTTTCGTTTTAAAAGGGGAAGCATACACACAAGCACGTATTCTCACCCACACGTACTATTATAATGTCTAGAAGGCATTTGAACATGTTCATAGACTTTGATGGTTTTGTTATTTTATCCCATGCCATGGTGTGTGAGCGGAAGATGGAGGCTTCTGCTTCCATGTCCGGCAGGCAAGGCTCTGACCTTCGGCTCTCCTGGGCGTCCATACCAAAAAGCTCTTTGATCTCCACTGAGGAGTCCAAAGATATCAATTGCTTATTTCCTCTGACTTTGCATTTCTGGCTGTTTTATCGACAGAACCTGCAAATTCAGATTGCTGTTTTCCTGGTAGAGCAGTATAAAATTGAATGCTTCCATTATACATCATGTGGATGTATGGTTGTGTTTTTTTAAAATATAACACTTAAATGAAGCAGCATGTGATGCTCTCACTGCCTCTTCAAGACTCCCTCTCCTGAAGTATAACTTCTTTTATCTCTCTTGAAACTAACTGAACAAACTCTGATCCTACTAAGCAGTTCTTCTTTCCATCCCTCTACCGTATGAATGAAAGAAACATTAATAAAAACTAAATAGCTTGCTATGGGACATACTTTACGGTGCCAGACCTTCCCTACCACCATCCTAAATTTCTTCCTTTCAGATATTTAATTTCCCAGAAGCAGCTTTTATGAGAAGCTCGTTTAGGTCTGCATACATATGTTTAAAGCCCCATCAAATGTTTTTCTGGACGGTCAGGGACTGGTTTGCAGTCAGATCTGACACCTCTAACTACAGAGTGAGCTTTTGGCACCGTCACACTCGGAATTATGTCAGTAATAATTTAGAGGGAAGACTGTTGCTTAATAGATACCCACAAATCCAGTATTATAACAAGTTGGAAATAAAAATACATAGTGCCATATACTTTATGTATGTTCAGGATCCATGAACCTGCCTTAAAATTAATTCTGTTCTATTGGAAGACTGATGCCACTTATAAATATCGTTATAAAACAAACTGCCTGGAAAAAATAACTTTTTGGGTAGGTGGTATTGTCTGGTCCTGCCAGTTTATGTTTAGGTACTAACAAAAATTCTTATAAGTTACCTTGAAATTCAGTGTAGCTGTATAATTGATCTTTGTGGTGCTTGAGTGTTAACCTTATTTATTGCAAGTATGACATGTCAAAACATTCAGGCTTTAAAATAACCAATTTTGGACCAAGTTCCCATTTACCAGCTTGAAGTAGTTCAAAAAACCAAAACAACTTCTGTTATTTTTACAGTGTGAGTCCAGGAATTTACTTTGAAATGCTGGTAAATTATTTAATAATTCTGTATACGCTAAGTCCTGCAATGATTATAGGTGTAGCAATCCTGGAATGGGCAGGGAACCCACTGGGAGCTGGAGCCTCGGAGTAGAAAGGATTTGCGTGAAAGAAGGGGAAGTGTCATACCAGGATGAGGGTGCTGCCTTGCTAAGGTGAGGGAAGCTCGGGGTTATTTAGGCGTAGTGAAGGTGTGAGACTTGAGAAGCATCAGAGCCTGATTCGGGGTCCCCTTCCATGCACCTTCTCTTATGGCTCCAGGCTTGATTTAATGTCAGGCTTTGCCATTTGTTTTAAAACTAAATAAAAGCTAGATTGACTTTGGAAACTGTTTGGAGAAGTGAGCTTTTAGGCTAGTGCATGCATTTTGAATTATTAATGCATTTTAGCAGTAACACTAGAGCTGTGATGTGCACTTTGAATACACCCCAGACAAGCTGTGTTGGTTTTTATTTCCCCTGGTATATGGTCCCTGCATTCCTTTGAACTCTTTTAAGCCTCCCTGTACCCCTCACTTTCTAGCTACTTTAAACTAAGCGGAGTTCTAAGTTAGCAGAAGATCTTTTTAGAGCTGGTTGGTGTTGATGCTGAATTAGAGGGCACAGTGAAGCTTTTGTCTTGGAGTGCTGCTTTCCTCTCACAACTGGCTTTAACTTTTCATGCCTATCTAATATCATAAGGATAAAGAACTTGGGCCATTCATCGACTCTCTTAGAGACAGTCCGGAAAATAATGTTGCAATTTTCTATTATGATTTTAAGATAAACAAGGAGAGAGGAAAGACTTGGATTTTTAACAACAAAATATCTACGTACTCTTATAATTCTTTGTTGTGTATCATATAGTTGAATTTTTTATGTTCCTATTGAAAAACAATTAAGATGTGGATGATGTATTGTGTTT